CGCCCCAATATAATACTGATCGGCTTCAAGACGAACTGGTACCGCGGAGGGCCAACCCCCACCACGATGAGCGAGCTGAATGAGTACTTTGGAACGATTCAGTCAGTTCATTTGATTATTATATTGAGAGTGTAAAATTGTGCACCAGAGAGCACTTTGAAAGAGTATCTATTCCAGAGATGCATTCGACAGCAATATGGCAATGTGTGTGCTACGAAACGGAGAGATGGGACTCGATTTTAGTGAAGCTATGAGACTTTTGAATGTAGGCGAGCCGAAGCGCCTCGATATCAATCTCGATGAAAAAGGAGATTGACAAGGAGGGGTAGGTTTCTTATTCAATTCAGGCATCGCCTCTGTAGACATTCATGTACTGCACATCAATCTTCTTGCATTTCAGACAGGAATCGCCTTCCCGTCCTTCTGTAAACGATTCTGATACGAAAGTAGCTACAGAGAGTTCGAATGAAGGCAATGATGACGAAAAGGCTGAATCAGAATGTAAGTACCATCCATGGCACGCCAGGTGCCAGCAAATTCTCTGATCCGGTTTCATTGGGATGTCTAGACTCACTCGGTCTGAAAATATTTTATGAGAATTTCAATGTTCGCGTTCGATACAGCCTTCAAAATTTTGCAAATATGCCTTTTTGCCTTGTATGCCGTTCGAAGGCAGTGAGCCACGACGGTCGTTGCCACTATCATTGGTGGAAGCGCTTCAAGAAAGTATTAGGTCATCCCATTCAAAAGTGCCGTCGGTTTTTTTCGAATAAAACAAAGAGGAGAATAGATAAAAAAGTAATATTTTGGCTTCAAGTTAAGTAAATCCCTCCTTCACCAATGACCCGCTCCCAGTGCCCCGAAAGCCTTTGGACCTCTGGTACCTTCGATTTTTCAACAAGTGCGAGTAAATTGCTGTTGATGCCAATTTCGGCGAATGACAAAACATTGTAGCGTTTGCCGTCGGAGAGTACTCTCGACTGACGAGAACAATTGGAATCGCTCGGCTTTATGTCGGGCGAATGGGGCGATTGAACCCAGGTCTCAGTATTGTTTGTGTCCCAGCACTGCCCTACAATACAGTTACTCGGGGTCTGGCACTATGACGAGCAACGGTGGCCTTCTTGTAGTTGTGTGGTATCATCCATTTGTCGATCTGATTGCCGAGGAACAGGCAATATACACCGAGCTACCATTTT